AGTAAAATACTGATTTGACTGAACTTTTTTTACTCATTCAAGAACTGTTTCTTACATCTTCTCTAGTTATCTTAAAACTTAATTACAGTTAAAAAGAGGACCTTGTTGGTTCTGTATATTATAATTTTTGCATTTATCACTTCATCAGGAACTCAGATGCTAAGTACGGCTGGATGACTCAATATTACTTGTGAGCTTGTGTTCTGCCTGTTTTTTGATGATGTCTTGCTCGTTGTTGCTGCATTCAAGATACTACAGTATATCTGGCACTAAAACAAAGATAACTGAGCAAAGATCAGATCTGAGGAATGCAAATGCTCAGTTTCTACGGAGTTCAGATCATCAACAGTTTTACAGTGCTGGCAGTGTCACAACTAACTGAAAGACATTTGCATTACTGTTACCCTTATCACATGACTTCTCACAGTACATAAAGAATATTTCACTAGGAAATAATAGCTACTCTGTCTCATCTTTGCCACCACTTGTTGTTGTGAGTCATCAGCTTTGAAATGCGAGTGGTTTGTGGATGAAAAATCCACAGTGTATTCTTATCCTGAACTGTGCATTGAAACATCTATTTGAATAAATATATTCACAAATGCGCAGAAGAGAAGTGCTGAGAAATCACATTTAGATGGCACTCTTCTTTATTTAAATGGAAAAAAACATGTCTGGCTAATCACTTGGATTAGCACTCTAAAAATAAAAGCTGTTCTTGATTAAGGATACAGGCTGCTATTCTGAGGAAAGTGGACATCTGTATGCAAGCTTGCTTTTCTGTCTTCTTTAACTCATGTTACTGTTATAAACAAGAACGCAGTGTATATTTATGGATGAAGTGATAAAATAGTATAAATGTAAGTTACGTTAATACATTTTACAATTTCATTATGGAAGTGGATTGGCTTTTCAGCAAATGGTTACATCCTTCTATAATCTTTGGTTTAACTGCTCAATTTGGCACTTAGTATGAAATATAACTTCATAAAGAATTAATTATATGGTGTTTAGATACATTATGCCTCATAAATCTAAATGAACATGTGTGGTCTTGTAAACGAACACTGGATCGATCATAATCTGTGTTTGTTCTACGCAGCAGTTGCTTTTGATTTCCCAAAAATAACAGGTGGTAGTTATCCTGGATTGGTTTCAGAAGATATGTTGCTAGGTGACAGCATTACAAGCAGTGAAGCGCGGCTCCTTGGTGGTTTGGAAAGCTACATTGACACTTGACTGCAACATTGCTCTGATTACTAGATTTCTGTCTTGCTAATGAATTGCACACATTAGACATTTTGTCAATCTAAAAATAACACAGATATTGCTTACTTTGAAAGAATCAACTTGGCTATGTTAGGTTACACAAGCAAAAACATCTTTAAGGAACAGGCAGAAATAACTCCTTAAAGTAACAACTGCACATGTTCACAAATAAAGCAGATGCTTCATAAACAAACCAGGAGCTTTGCCCACTTGATGTGAAGTTTTTCAGGCAATTATCCTGATATCAGACCACTGGACCATTGGACTTTACACTAATGAAAATTGGTTATAATTGGCCTCCTGCTAAACATTATAATTAATTGGCTACACTTATCATAATGCCTCCATCATGAAAATGGGGTTATGGAACTAGATAAGCATTTTATGTTAGGCCTATACAGTATATTATGTTATATTATATTTAAAAATGTTACCTTCTCAGTATTAAAAATAATTGACTACACTTAAGATGCCTCCATGAAAATGGGGTTATAAAATTAGATGACAGTTTTATTTTATTTTTTAAATCTACCTTCTCAGTATTAAAAATAATTGACTACACTTATAATAATGCATCCACCATGAAGATATTATATTATATTATATTTATTATATTATATTATATTATATTACAATTTTACCATCTCAGTATTAAAAATAATTGACTACACTTTTAATGCCTGCAGAATGAAAATGGGGTTATGAAAACTAGATAGCAGTATTTATTTGCTTGTTTGTTTTACGTTCTATATTAAAACAAAAAAATCATGTTTTTTGTTTAGATTATTTTGCCTTCCTTTTTCATTGTAAAGCATAAAAGTTTAAATTACTGAGATTTACACTTAAAAATATGCACTATTATTTATGTTGACATGAACTGTCTCTGTTCATCTGTGGTCTCTCTCCACCTCTTCACTGACTATTTGTATTTTTGCACTCACACTCATGCACAGCAATGTTAGCTCACATACAGTCGGTTGGTCCCACTGTGTGACAATTCATTAGGTGAAGTAAACATAGCAAAACATTTCCCTGAACAATTTATGGAGTGCTATAAAGGTGTTGATATGTCAAGCATGTGGTATTAGCAAGTGCAGTAAAAAAAAAAAAAAGATGAAAAATATGCAAAGTATCTGTTTCTTGTCTATTCAAGTTTCAGTGTTCTGCTCTGAATCGGCTCTCATGCTCTGAGGATGTGTCAATATCCACGGGAAATGTTTGAAAACTACTAATTCCATAGGGCGTTTTTAATGAATGATGTATGCTTGATTGTTTAAAATTTTCAGTTATCATTTTCATCATCTAATATCTGGTTTGTGACCGTTTTGTGGAACACTGCCATTTTTAATTTTTTCAATCAGCATAATTGTTCTCATGCTTACATGAAGTGGTTAATTATTTCACAATATAAAGCTGTTTTAAAGTCTGAGCAGATGTTTGCATTTTGCCTACCCTTTTTCTGCTTGGCACACCTCTGAAGCAGAGGAGCTATAAATATCTCAAGTGATTGGCTAAATCCAGTGTTGCCCATCTATTAACTAACATGAAGCTTGGGTAGAGGATAGGTGGGACATCTGCACTGACCTATGGGAAGGAAGTGATTTACTCAGCCTGTAGTGTTGAGCTCATCTCAGTGTCATCCTAGCAGAGATGGACCTCTCAAAAGTTAGAGTTGTCCCAAATCCCCTTAGCATCTCCCAATCTGTGCCATGTGATGGTGAACAATGTAAGCTTCTTAGGTATAATCCAACCCAGGGAGAAGAGGGCTGACACAGCTGCTCCTCGCACCTCATATGCCTCCTCTGGGAGTCTGGCATGAGGAAAAAGGGATGCATGTGAAAGGGCATGATAGACTGGACTGACCCAAGTCATCAACTCCAGGCCACAAATAAATCACCACATATAGTGGACACAACACATATTTGGACAGTTAAGTTGCTCTGTATGGCATTGTATTTTTAAACTGGGGTACAGGGACACTAAAGGAATGCTTTGTTTGTGGGTCTCCATAAAATGTGAATGTAAATCAGATTTTACACTCAATAGACTCAAAAACCATTGTTGTACATATACATTATTACAGTATATACCTTAATTATCTATTATATACAGTATATTATGTGTATGTATGTGTGTGTGTTTGTTTATTTTTTTATCTTATTTTTTCTTATTTTTATTTTATTTACCTTATTTTCCAAAAAATATTGTTATTGTTATTTATTTATATTTTTTTCTTGTCATTTTTACTTGTTTTGTGTATAATGTTTTGGTAATATTATATGTAAACACAATCATGCCAATAAAGCACTTTAAACTTAAAAATGAATCATAGGATTTTACAATATATATATATATATATAAAAAATCATGAGAAGTTATTTTATTTTATTGTATATATTGTAATAATGTTAATTAGTACTTTATTATTGTCATTATGCTATATACTATAGCACATTAATACTAAAGCAAAACACCCAACCAACTGCCATTTTTTTACATCATCAATATTAGGAATATTATTCAATTTTAACACACAATGTGTTCATTATTGTCTGTCAGTCAGTATAC